AAAAAAACAGCGTTGGTCAAGAATGAAAACAAATAAGATTCTGGAGATGGTCAATGATATTTTGTTTTGATTTATATCAACGATTTAAGAAGCAAATTTCTGAAGAAAAAAACATGCCAATAGAACACAAACTTATTAGACACAAAGCACACTGCACACCAATACCACACGAAACTGAGTAACACACCAGAATTTACAAATGAAACGAGCAGATTCTCAAAGCCATCCTATTATATATAGAGAGATTTTGTCATATAATGTTTGATCCAACAAGCAGCACAACACACTTTCAACATCATCTTTCCAGATTCTCTGAATTCCAGTACGAGTCCTCGATTAGGCAGCCAGTACTATAACCACTATCAGAAGAACAATGCCGAATATCACAAGTAATAAGCAAGTCTGCAGAAGGAAAGTTAAATGTGAGAAATCCAAGTAAAATGATAGTATATTACTCATTAACTAATGTTATGTTTGGTAAACTTAGTTGATAAGTTAGTTGAGAGCTGATAAGTGAATTTCGAGCTTATAGTTGATAGCTTATGACTTACGGCTAAAACACTAGCTTATATGATAAATGTGTTTGTAAAATTAGCTGATAAGCTAGCTGAATTAGAAATATAAACGGACTTATTTGAAAAGCTACCAAGGAAGCTTATATACGCTCGAACTTTTTGAAAAATTCGTCCTATCAAACCGAACTTTATTTGGATACACGAACCTTATTCAAATAAGCTATAAGTTAGCTTATGATGCTTACCAAACACACTCGGCTTATGATGCTTACCAAACACACTCTAAATGCTAAAAGAAAGAAAGGCCACATAAGTGACATAATGGTATAATAAAGATACATATTTACTTTAGGAAGAGGTGGAAAACCACTCAAGTCATAAACGAATTGAAACCATCAGTATATAGTTGATAAAAAAATAAAGGAACGCACAAATGAACATAATTCATGCGCAAAAGAACTAAGCGTCTAATAGAATACACTAGGATACTAAACTACTCAACCAACATTAACAGTTAAAATATACAATTTACCCAATAGACCTAAAGTTCCATCAGCTCAGAATGTGAAAAGAACCTATGTTGCATTTTGTAGGACATGGATTGATATACCTAACAACTCACCAGAGATGAATTTGACCGCTGGGTTTTAGCTGCTTTGACCAACTGGGATTTTCCCTGTGCAGTTGCAGCATGAGCACCCTCAATGTTGGAGCCAATATCATCTATGCACATAAATCAGATCTCTGGGTTAATTTTCTTTAACCAATACATTTAAATCTTCTACATTGTAAATCACGTACCTATCATAGTTCCTTGGTCGTGAACTAATACAGCAAGATCCTTGAAAATCTCATTCACTTCACCAATTTGCTGTTGTATCTCTTGTATTCCCTGCTCTCTTTCCTCTATAATGGCCTCGTTGAATGCAATTTCATTGTCCAATAGCAAAACCTCTTGTCTGCAAAATACGCACTTGTAAGTAAGCAGACAGATTTATGAAATTGTAAAGAAAGCAAACTTCCAAGTTCTAGCAAATGAGCTAACTCTCGCTTAAATGTCACTTGACCATCACAGGGTGTCGTACATTGAAACAAGAGATTTACACTACATGAAGTTACTATAACTTTTACTATTATCATTATTTTCTTTATTATTAATGTAGGTGTTGTTGCCGCTGCTAACGTTATGTAGTTCTATTGTTGATGTTCATGAAACCACTATTCATTTAATTCTTTACGAGGTAATATTATGTCGCAAGCAAAGTTTCTGACGATGATGACAGTCTGAACATGCATCACATTAAGAAATTGTACAATGACAGATTTATGCAAATACTTCAAAACGTTATCATTGTATTTAAAAATATAAAGCATTTCTAAGTCTCAATTTTTCCTTTGTCACACTGAGACTTGACAAATAGATAAATTTCTTTCTATACCACCTCACAATATTTCATCTCTTTTCTTTGAAATGAACATCTATTTTTAAGTCCAACTGGCAAAATTTAAAACTCTTGGACTGGAAACAGGAACTCAACTACAAGTACAAGTGTTCAAAATCATTCAAATTCCAAACCACTGCCTAAACCAACAAAGTGATTGCTAGATAAAGAAATTAACTATCAAGACGACAAAATCTTAAAGAATATGCTACACAATAGCCCAGAGAAGTTGTTGCTCTCTACTTGTGATGTGCATTACAGAGAAGGTATGAGATAATATTAAACAAGTTGATGGAAGATATACATGTAAGGAATACTAAGACTTCACATCACAAACCTTCTAGATTCAACAAGAAGTGCACGCTGTTCTGGAGTCTTATCTGAACTTGCATCAACTTCACCAGCTGTGTAGCTGCAGGACGTAATACTTCAAAATATAAGCTACAGCCTAATGAAAAGTATAAAGCTCATTTTTCACCCAATTTTGCAAACCATTTACCATAAATCATCCAGAAAATATCTCATAAAAAAAGCTTCAAACAAAACCAAACTTTTAAACTCAAAAGTAGAGCATTTCAATCAATGTTACCTAGAGGGAAGTGCTGCTTGAGGGGCAAACGGAGTATACGTTGTCTCTCTCTCAGCTGCAAGTCTTTGTGCCTTCTGGAACTCCTTCAGAACTGCTTGAAAATCTTTAGCGAGTTTAGCATCCGTTATTTTCTTATTTGTCTGCAGGAAGCAAGAACACTTTTGGTCACACAGCACAAGTTGGAATGCTTGGCGAGAAGAATATGATCCAAAATATCGATTTAATTGCTTCACCCAGTTGATACAGTTGATTTGTTTTCTTGTATTATTGATTTCGCTAGGTCTTAAAAGATATAAGTTATTTTGTATATCCCTTTTCTAAAGAAACTGATTTGTAATTTTTTGTAAAGTATAGTCCTATATAAACATGTCGTGCTGAGGTCTTTCACTCGCACATTTAAAATAAAATAATTTCTCAGATTAAGATATCCACTATAAACAACTGAAGAAAGCAAAGCAGCACCCTAATTGTTTTGCTTCCAATGTAAACAAGAAATCTACCAATCAACATCCAGCAGTAATGGAAGAAAACAAACCACAGGAGAAGAGACTGAACAGGGAAGCGCCACATAATCAACTAAATAGCCAAGCAGACTTACACTAACTTCAGCACGATGGTCTGTTTCACTAGCTTGCTTAAGTTTAGCTGAGGTATCCTTCACCAACTGTCCAATATGCAGCCGAGTTTTATGCCTGCAATTAAGGAAAACGAGCTTAAGAATAACCAAAAAGTTTTCCTTTATGATTTACATTAATACAACAAACAAAAATGCATTTAGAGATCTCATTAAACTTTATCATGGCATCCCGAAAGATCTTTAAAAACTAACACTAGTATAATTTACCATGGACCACAATAGAAATGAAGAACTAAGTCTTAATCTCAATTTTTTATTGTTACAATGGAGCAGTAGTAGTTAAGCAATAGAGGCAGGCAGCCTATAAAGGATCCTCAAACACACACACTAATCTTTTGGGGTTAAAAGGGAAAAATATGTTGGGAGGCATGTTATGCTGATGTTTAGGAAAGGTGATGTGAGTTACTAGGAGGACAAAGACAGGCCACCACAAGCTAAAGAACCTTCTATAGTTGCAACACTTAAGTTGAGTATGTAAATTTTGCAAGTGCCGTAACCAAATCACAAGTGAAAACAGTAAAGTTGGAATGACAGCTGGCCTATGCAAGTCCAAGATGGGTCCAGGATTAGGAAGGCTCTCAACATACTAGTTTATAAGTCCCCCTTGTATACACGGCGTAATTACTAAAGTAATCTGAGAAGATAACACTGCGTGTAGGAGGGCAACCATAAAGGCGTCAAAGATGAACAAAAGGGGATTTGATCCTCGTGCAAATACAGCAGGTGAGATAAAAGAAACAGTAAGCTATACTTTATGAAAAATTGAATCCCATTCTCACTAGTGAGGAGTGCGAAGTAAGATATAATCTTCATCAATTGGAAACAAAAGATGAAAAAACTGAACTACAATGTGTTGTCTTGCACCAGCTCGAGAGTAGATCGCAGTAATTTCAGCTAAATCATCAAGCTTATCCACATCGCAGTAAGTTGAACTCAAGTTTTCACTTTTCAGCACCTACAACTAAAGTTTTCACTTTTCAGCACCTACAACTATTGACCTCAACTCATCAACTGAATGCATGCACACAGTTTCCATTGACCAACAGAGGTCCATTTCATAATTCAATAAAAACATCGATTAGCTAAAAGCGGATTCACAGTAGAAACTAACAGCTTTTCACGGAGCTCAGGCGTGTCCTTGGGTGTACCGAGGGCGTTGACGAGGCGCTGGAAGGTGGAAACCGCCGTGGTGATCTGAAATATGCCGGAGGCCACCGCCTGGGTCGGGTCCTGCTTCCCATTTACGAAACCCCTTCGGATTCCAGCTCCCCTACCGGCTTCAAGATCTTGAAAACTCATTGAATTTGTATGATGTTTTTTTTTAATTATTATTATTCGCAAACCCTAAAATCAAACGCCGCGAAAACTGTGTGTGCTGCCTAGCCGACCGCCGTTAGCAGAGAATCCAAACTGGATTTGATATTCAGGCTGCGGTCGGCGGATTTCGGCACAGCTAAGGCGAAGAAATTTGGGAAATGGAGGAAATTGATGATTGGAATTTTGGGGAGAAAATGATGGAGAAGAGTAAAGGAAAAATTTAAATTTAAAAATGATGGAGTAGAAATTTTGAAGGAGAAAAAAATAATATTATAATCAGAGACGTGATGGATTAGGACCCCGCAGGCAATGGAGAACAGACTTTTTTGTTTTGAAAAAGAAAATGTTAAAAACAAGATGCTATTCAATATAAATTACTTTTAGGAAAATTTACTAAAAAAATATGTGGTATGATTAATTTTATTTTTCCACTGTTATAATAAGATTGAGGAGAAAATTGATGAACATGAATGGTAAATTTATGGGAAAATTTTGGTATCTAACTATAGTTCTGATAAAAAAATTATTGGTAAAGACGAAAGTCATTCATTTTCATTGGAAGTATAGTTGCATGTAAGAAAAAATTAGATAAAAAATTAATTATAGTCCTCTATTCTAATTTTTCCTTCTCAATTTTATCAACACAATTGAAATGATCGATAATTATTAAGTATTTTTCAATGTAAATAACTATCTATTTGCTTATATAATTCTGATTCACAATCATCTGTAATTACTATTTTTTTATATTTCTAAGAAAAAATAAGACAATCTTCCGAAAGATCCAGTTTTTTATAACTATTTCCATTGAGATTTATATATATATTTAAACACCTATAACAAGCTTTGTAAATTACATGTGCCAAATAAAAAATAAATAAATATTTGAATTGCAATGTAATGTATTTTGATATTGATAAATAATTATTAATTTTTTAATGTATGAACAATAATGTATACTAGTGCGTGGCCCGTGCGATTCACGGAAAAACAATATTACGATTGTATTATAAATTAAATATATAAAAAACATTAATCATGATTCATCTATTGTTTTAAAATTAAATCGGATTGAACACAGTCCGACCGGATGGACTGAGAACTGGTTTATAACCAGTCTAGTTCGCTTGAATAAAATATTTGCTCTCGAATCCGTCAACACCAGTCGGTTGGACTAATAGGATCGATACGATTTTATAAATAAATTTTGTTATATTTAGAATTATTTTAAATAAAATTATATATTTAAATAAAATAGAGATTTATAAGTCATTTATCAATTAGTTTAAACATTTGAATTTATAAATTGTTAGATATTTAAGTAACACATTTTATTTAAATTTATCACAAAAAGTACTATATATATTAAAATGTTTATAAATTAAAATATGAACAAACTATAAATGATTTAATAAAATAGCTTGATCGTTTCGATGATGGTCCAATTCTGAATACCTTGTATTTACTGTACATTAATAAATATTATAATAAAATATTATTTAATTCACATAGATATTAATAAAATGATGTATAAATATTCATAAATCATTAAACATGTTTTCATAAAAAGTATTGTTAATAGGATTATTTGCAGTTTGGATTACATCACATTCACGTAATAAAATATTTTCAATATAAAATTTATATTTAAGTTCAATAATTGATTTGGTGTGGTCGAACTCATATATAACTTAGTCACCTGGGACCAACCAAGTTGTGTCAAATTTTTTTACTATTTTAAATATCATCTAAAAGTAATTCAATCAACATGTACAGTACCCTAATTCAATCACCTGATTGATCCTAATAAATTTTCTTATTTTCTTTAAATATATTTAATTTTATGAAATAAAAATATTTTATGGTTCATATAATAAATGTCTACATCAATTGATAGTATATTAAGATTATAAATTATATATCTAAAGATGAATTAATTATTTTTACTTTATGCATATTAATAAAAAAACATAGTAATTTTTAAAAAACTAAGATTAACTGATTGATTTTGCAATTTAAATAATATTTAGCGTTCAATATTTTTTTTAAAGGCACAAATATAAAGACTGAGATTCTAAAACTTTTATTATATTTTGAATTGAGATTTTATATATATAGAGACCGAAATTTTAATATTGTTCGTTGTTTCTAAGAAACAAATAAAAATAAAAACATACACACTTAATAAATCTTAGTCGAATTTTTTAAATAATAAAATAAACTAAAGTTCAAAATTTAAGGTAACATTTAATGCTGTATGATTTTTAAAGAAAAAATAAAAAAAAATAATAAAACTTACTATTTATAGGCTGCATTAAATTCTTACTTATTTTTTTGATACTATTTTTGGTAAATGGTAATTCTTATTATATATATATATATATAGATATAGATATAGATTTATCATTTATAGTGTCGGGCATAACTTTGCCAGTGAAGTTGATCCAGTGATCAACAACCAATGTTTGTGATATTTTGTTCAATAACACGAGATCTTCAGCTGTATCTTAGGGAACTTGATTGCTTTGGAGTTAATTATTTCAAAATATGAGCTTTAGGGAACTTGATTACTTTGAAGTTAATTCTTCTGAAATATTCGCTGTGACAACGCCAGATTCTAAAACGTACCTAATGCAGCAACTTGGAATGATGATGTATTCATTCGAAAATAAATTTAGATTTTTTTTTAATGAAATCTTTATAAATTTTAAATATAGAGGTCGAATTTATGATGGAATTTGATATATGTAATTTGTTTTTGAAATATCAATGTCTCAAGGTCCAAAAAAATCTTAATAGTAAATAAATTGTATATCTCATAAATTTTTTTTAACATTTTTTTGAAATCTCATAAAAACTTTTTCAAATTTCAATTCAAATACCATATGACTTTGAAAAACTTTAAAATATCAAATAAATACACCAAAATTTTTAAAAATTTAAAGCCTTTAAAAATTCTGAAGAAACACCCTCCTTACATTCTTTCAAAATACAAATGACAACAGGGAAAAGCTCACGTGGTATGAACCAAACAGGAAAATTCAGCTGAAGTTCGAATATAAGGATAGCAACTATCTACATCACTCAAACCCTAGCCTGCAAACATGCAAATCCAATTCCTCAACCACAGGTAACTTGATGGAGACGAAATCGCAATGGCGTTTCTTCAGAAATACGATCGGATGCCTTCAATTTTCCTCTTCAATTGAAAACTCTAATATGGCACAAAAAGCTTTTAACTTAACTAACGATAAATTTTAAATTGATTTTGAAAATTGATTTAGGACTTTTATAATTCATGACGAGATGAACAAAATGAGGTATGGTTTGCCGATTTTTGAAATCGATCGACGAAGATAGTAGAAGCGTATAGGAAAAAATTCAATTCAAGTTTTTTGATAATTAGGATATCCGATTTTTGATTGTGATGTGTCATTTGAAAGCTTGCAGAACCAATTTTCTAATGCGTAAATCTAATGAAAATCCAATGGCCGGATTTTTTTTAACTACTGATCAATAGTTAGCTTTTTTTAGGCTACTAACTAAAATCCAACTGTTGGATTTTCATAAGATTTATTTTTTTAGAAAACTATCTTCCAAGCTTTCAAATGACAAATTTTAATTGAAAATCGGATACATTGATTATTAGCAAACTTGTATTAAAATTTTTTCTGTACATACGTACTCCTACTATCTTCGTCGATTGAAGTATCAGTTTTCAAAAATTGACAAACCATACCTCATTTTGCTCCTTATGATGCCCAACTTAAAAAACAAGAGTTACATTACAATTCCTTATGATACCCCTCGTTCTCTAGACCGAAAACTGAAATTAAACATGTCAGCAGATGCAAAAAGGGAGTTCAAATCACGGTTTCTAAGTCGATGGGCCAGCTGCTAAAAGTTGAAAAGCATTGGATTGTAAGTTCCAGAGATTTTGAATCTATGCATCACAGATGCCAGCCCAAAGCTTGCGTCAAAAATTATTCCAAGACATTCCCATACTAAATAATTTCAAGAACAAAACATGCCACAACAAAGTCTAAAACGAAAAATTACTAATAAAAAAAATGAACAGTCCGCAAAATCCCAAAATCAGAAGCTAGCTCGGGAAAAACCACATAGGCTCTGGGAACATCGCTTTTAAGCTGGCAGGGTCGTATGGATAATAGCATGGCGACACAGTCTTGTCCTCACAACTGAAAATGCCAATGTCATGGTTACCTCCATTAATATCACAACGATCTGCTATAACATCCGTAAAGTAAATGGAGTTGGGCTTCAGCTCTGGGAAGTCACTCGCACGCAACGCAAGAGAGTGGTTATAGTTACCAACGAAAAGAGCCCAACCACCCAAACACGAACCTTCCAAATACTTTAAATCCCCATCCTCCCAATCATATCTATGAACATCAAAATCAAAAGTCGCGCTCGGGTGCCCAAACATATATTTTCTTGATTCTTCTTCATGTGATTCTTCTGCCTCGAAGTCAACATATAAACCGTCCGAATTAACGGATAGCATAATGTACTGAGTCAGCACAAGGAGATCCTCTCCGGCAATCACCAGATGGTACTCATGCCAACATGACAAGTCGTCTCTCGACCGTAACAACTTGGTATTCCTCCTCTTCATCATCTTCTCTTCATGGTCGAGGATATTTCTAAATTCACCCATAATTCGTAACAATTCAGGGGATGCAGCCGTTAAGTCCCAAGCCTCCAATTGGAAAGTGTTGGTGAGGGCAAAGAGTGTCTTTTTGCTTGTGGAGTAGACGCAATCTAAATGATTGTTGTCTTTGGAATTTGTGCCGAACCATTTCCAATTGTCACTGGACAAAGGGCAGCACACAGCCATGGAATTCCCACTGTAGGTTAGGCTCACGGCCACACAATTTTCAGTGTCGGGAGAACAAGAGAGGATAGACTTATGGAGAATGGGTGCTCTGTTTAGATCAACAGATGGGCCGTAGGAAGGCGGGAGCTTTATGCGGCGGCGGGATATGGGGTTGTACAGTAACACATCGTGGGTTTCGGGCTGCACAAGGGATAACCAGCCACCGCCGGAAGAACCCCGGAGACCCAGGTCGCCGGGTACTTGTGGGTCCCGCAGAGTCACGACCTGTTCTCGGCCAGGCTGTAGAATTTGTAAGTCAACGTGGTGGTGGCGGCCGTGCAGGCGGCGGCGGCTTCATATGCGGGTTGCAGCATCAGCCAAGGAGAAGAAGAAGATGGATTGATTTTTCCCGGCGACATCGGCGCCGCCGTGCTCATGCCTCTCCGACAAGACCAATTACAGTCGGGACTCCATTTTCCAGAAATTAAATGACTAGAAATTCCGGCAAACCCTCGGCCACGGCGCAGCAAGGAAGAATAAGCCATCAATTAGGTTTATCCAATTTTTCCTTTCTATTTTGTGATTATGTAAATCGAGCGAGCGAATGCTGAAATGTAACTCTGTCTGACCTATCCAATTTATTCGAAGAGTAAAAATGAGAGGCAGCAGCGTTATCTTGTGGGATAAGTAAGCTTCCTTTCTCTATCGCTCGCGTTTTCAGTTACCAAATTGAATATACCAACACTTTCTTTATATAATCGATTGTCATAATTTTTTTTTTCTGTTTTCTCGTCTTTCACGTTTTTGTTGGCGATACTTAGAAAAAATGCGTCGATTGATCGTTGATTGGCTGCCAGTGATTGGTGAATCTAATTAAACGAATAAACTGTGTTATTGATTTTGTTATATTCTGCCCAATCTGTTTGCCCAGCTTACCCAACCGTGTTCTGGTAAATTTTGCACAGTTGATTTTGATAATATTATAATGAAAAGAGAAATGGATGGTTGACATGTTGATTCATCTTACTCCCATCGGTTGACGAATCTGATGATCCGAATGAGATGTGTTGTTGATTTTGATATATTCTGCTCGGCTGGTTTATCAACCTGCTTAGCAAATCATGTGTTTGGCAAAATCTGCATAGTTAATTTTGATAGTGTTATATTAAAAATGAGGAATTGACCTCTGTGTTTTTGGTAACCTAATCTTGAAATCATTCTAAATCATTTTAGCAATGACAATGTAGCATATTAGGGTTGTAAACAAGCTGAGCAGAGTTCGAGCCTTTAATTAGGTAAGTAAACAAGCAAGAAATGAGCCGATCTTGAGTTTAACTAGCCGAACTATAAAAATTACGTACAAATTTTCTTTTCGAGTCATATCAAGCCAAGCTGAGCCAGCTCGTTAACGAAACTAGCTTTAGGCGAGTACGACTCGTTTAAGCCGAACTCAAGTCTTAACGAGCCGAACTCACGAGCAGCTCATTTTGTTTAACAGTTCTGAAGGCACATACACTTAAAATGCAAATAGAGATGGTAGCAGTTCGAATTGTTAGGGGATGTTTGAGTATAAAAAGTTTTGGTTTTGTTTTTATTTTTTGGTTTGTGTTGGTTAAATTTGAAAAATGTTGTATAATTAGTTGTTAGTGGTTATATTAAAACAATATTTAAAATAAAATGATTAAAAGTAATTTGATGTAAAAGTAGGAGAGAAAATATGTGATGTGATGATTAGTTAAAATTATGTGAGTTGATGAATAGTGAATTAAGGTTGATGTGATGTGTAAGAATATTTGGTTGATATCATTTAATTATATGGACAATCTATATCTATATATATAATTACTAGCATTTCAATAAATTTTACCTCATAAATAAAACCTACTACCTAATAAATTTTACCTCATTAAACTTTAGTCTTAATAGATGATAGAGAGGAGAGAGAAAAAATAAAAAAATTATGGTGTATTGATGTGTAATAAAGTAGGAGGGCAATTTGACAACTTTCATAACACAAAAAAACCGTTATAAATTATTATTATTATTATTATTATTATTATTATTATTATTATTATTATTATTATTACATTAATTCACTCTATCCCATTAATGATTAAAGATTTTCTTGCACTTTTTTTGGTTAATTAAGACAAAATTCGTTACACATTATATTAATTGAATAATAATTATATTTTTTCATTGTATCATATAATAGGTATTATTAAAATTAATAATTATCTTTACACTAAATGATATATGAAAGTTACATAAACAAAAAAGCTATATTGTACAAACTTTTTGTTCAAATTATTTATTCTAAAATTTATTTTTTTATTGATTAAGTGATTGTTATTTAAATAAATTAATTTATCTTAATGTCATAGTAAAATTTCTTAAAACCACATAGCAATTGTTATAATAAGTTTAATATTTTTCAGCAAATTAATTGGTCATGATCCCTCAAAATTACAAAATATATTATTTATTATATTTTATCAATCAATATAATAATTCATTGCAATCAAATCATTATGTATTATTTATTTTAACCAATGATCAAATTTTAAAACATAATATCATTATCTAACTTATGATTTCAAGATTATATGCATAGCTATAATTTACAATACTTTGTGTTTAAAATTTAATATATTATCTAACTTATAATTTTGATATTATATGTATACAAATAACATATAATGTTTTTTTATATGCATAGCTATAATTTTTTTGTTGTCAATAGATTGAGATCAAGCAGCTTGTGTGATGCTGAACACGACGTCGTTAAACATGGGCGGCGGATTGAAGGAGACCTTCTACATCTCCCACGGCTCGCCGACGCTGGCGATCGACGACTCCTTGCCGGCGTGGCACTTCCTCAAATCTTTCCGGCAGAGGGTGCTGGCCCAGAAGCCCACCTCCATTCTCATGGTCTCGGCCCACTGGGAAACCGCCGAGCCCACGGTCAACGCCGTTAACGGGCCTTCAGACACTATTTACGATTTCTACAACTTTCCCAAGCCCATGTATCAGGTGATCGATGTGTTCTGTTTTCTCGTCTTTCACGTTTTTGTATGCGACACTAGAAATATGTTAGGTTTTTTAAGTGTCGATTGATCGTTGTTTGGCTGCCGGTGATTGGTGAATCGGATGAAACGAAAGAGCAGAAACTACTTTGTTGTTGATTTTGTTATATTCTGCCCAATTGGTTTACCCACTCGCTTACGTATTTTGGCAAATTTTGTGTGGTTGATTTTGATAATATTATAATGAAAATAAGAACGGATGATTGACATGTTGATTCATCTTACTTCCGTTGATTGATGAATCTGATGATCCGAACGAACTGTGTTGTTGATTTGATATGTTCAGCTTGACTGGTTTATCACCAACTCGCTTACCGAATTATGTTTTGGCAAAATCTGCATTGTTAATTTTGATAATATTATAACAAAAAAGAGGAATTGACTTGTGTGTTTTTGGTAACCCAGTCTGTAAACCATTCTAAATCATTCTGGCAATGGCAATGTAGCTTAATAGGGCCATAAACGAGCCAAACCGAGCTCGAGCCTTTAACTTGTTAAGTAAACGAGCCAAAAATGAGTCGGTTTCGAGTTTTAACAAGCAGAAGCTCTAAAGGAAGGCATGTACTCTTAAAATGAAAAGAGATAGTAGCAGTTTGAAAGCATTGTTAACAATTCATATGTATGACAAATTTTATTGTCGATTAAAATCTCAATTGGTGTTTATTCCCACAGCTCAAGTACCCAGCACCCGGAGCGCCTGAGCTGGCGGTGAAGGTTAAGAAACTGCTTGAAGAAGCTGGGTTCAAGCGGGTCCACGTGGACAAGAAGCGCGGTCTGGACCACGGGGCGTGGGTCCCGCTCATGCTCATGTATCCTGAGGCTGATATTCCCGTATGCCAGCTGTCAGTCCAGACGAACATGAATGCAACCCATCACTATAACATGGGGAAGGCGTTAGCTCGACTCAAGAAAGAAGGAGTTCTTGTAGTTGGTTCGGGCTCAGCCGTGCATAACCTAAGGACCATGGAAAACATCAAAGGCTCTGTGGCTTCGTGGGCTGCCGAGTTTAACGAGTGGCTTAAAGAATCCCTCCTTGATGGAATGTAAGTTGAGCCTGTCTGTATAATATTGAGACTATTTTTTGGAGAAATTGAAAGATTGATCACGGTATTTTTTTCCAAAGGATAAAAATAAAAGGTAAGGTGGTGATTGGAAATAAATTCTTTTGGTTTTGATTGGATTTATTGGATGAAGTGGATAAATTTTGAAAAGAAGTTGTTATTAATAATATTTAAATTTTCAGTTGTGACTCAAATTGTTTCGCATCAATTGGGCCTCGCCAGGTACGAAGACGTGAACAACTATGAAGCAAAGGCACCATTTGCGAAACTCGCACACCCATGGCCGGACCATTTATATCCATTACACTTTGCAATGGGTGCAGCCGGTGCTCAACCAAAAGCAGAGCTCATCCACGACAGCTGGACAAATTACACTCTCTCTTACGCTTCCTACAAGTTCACAGATTCAACCTAAGAATTTGTCATCATTCTGTATTTTATACTGTTGTATGCATAATAGGGTGTGTTTGTATTGACTAGTGAACTAAAGCATTGCGAACTTAACAGCCTTGGCGGCTCATATATATGTAAATAGGCCGGTTGTTTGTCGTAAGGGCTTTCTTGCTTGTGTTTTGTGTTTGAAATGTTGTAATACACGGAAGTTGAGGTCGAAAGAGTGTGTGTTAGGTTGTGGAGTAGACGCAATCTATATAATAATTGCTGTTTTTGGAATTTGTGCCGAACCAGGTCCAGTTGTCACTGGAGAAGGGGCAGCACACAGCCATGGAATTCGCATAGTAGATTAGGGTCACGGCTACACATTTTTCAGTGTCGGGAGAGGAAGGGATCAGGATAGACTTAAGGAGACGTAGATAATCATGCTGGCCGTAGAAAGGGGGGAGACTTATGCGGCGGCGGGATATGGGGTTGTACAGTAACAGATCGCCCGGTTTTGCGCTGCACAATGGATACCCAGCCACCGCCGGAGGAACCACGGAATTTCAGAAGGTCGCCGGGGATTTGTGGGACCCACAGGGTCACGACACTGTTCTCAGCCAGGTTGTAAAATTTGTAAGTCAAAGTGGTGGCTGAGCAGGTGGCGACGCCGGATTCATATACGGGTTGCAGCATTAGCCAAGGAGAAGGAGAAGAAGAAGATGGATTGATTTTTTCCGGCGAGATCTGCGCCGCCGAGCTCATGCCTCTCCGACAAAACCAATTATTACAGTCGCCACTCGATTTTCCAGAAATGAAATAATTAGAAAATCCGGCAAATCCTCCGCCACGGCGCAGCAGGGAAGAATAAGCCATCAATTAGGTTTATCCAATTTTGCCTTTCTATTTTGTAATTATGTAAAGCGAGTGAGTGAATGCTGAATTGTAACTCTGGCTGAGCTATCCTATTTATTCCAAGAGTAAAAATGATAGCCAGCGGCGTTATCTTGTGGGCTAAGTAAGCTTCTTTTTTCTATATCGCTCTCGTTTTCAGTTACCAAATTGATTACAGAATTTTTAATAATAAGTATACAAAAAGTAAGGCCAAATTATTATAACCCTCAAACCCAAGTATAATTAGTATATAAGATTTATATGGAAATATATAATATATATGAAATGATTCAACCAGTACACAAATAATATCCTATCCCTTCCACCAACACAAATTAAACACCACAAAAATCAATGACAGAGCCAAAACAAATAAAACCATCTTCTTAATATATAATAAATATTCATAATATTCTAAATCCACAAAGGAAAGAACTTGTTATTATCATCATCTTCCTCGGCGGCTTTTCTCACGAAGTACCTCGCGCATCCAAGCACGCATTCTTTCTTGCATTCGCTCTCACTGAAAATCTTTATTTGTGTGCAGTCGAAGTAGCACTCTCTCATGCATTGCATATTCACGTTTTCCTCGGCCACTACAGCCACCGCCATTGCCACCAATACTGCTGCCAACACATAATTAATCCAATGACTCGCCATTAATTGAGCTATGATCTTGATATATGATATATATGTATGTGTATTAATATTAATTGATGATGTGCAAAAATTGTTTCAAAGTGCTACTTAATTATTTTTGTGTGTGTGAGTGTGTGTTTATATAGTCAAGTGACGCAGCCTTTCAAAAGGGTCACGTCTCAAATGAAAGGGGTGTGAGAATTTTTTAAATTTTGTTTAAATGGTGAATGGGTGCTTGCAAGGAAACATGAAATGGTTTGAAAAGTTTTCATATAAAGATAAAAGAATAATGTTATAATCTATATATATATATAATAAGAATTACTACCTCCTTTTGTTTATAAATGTCATTTTGGTTTTATCAACAATTGTCTAAATAAATGACGTTTTGGATCTTTTGTACATATTTTTCCATTATTACCCTTATCTAGCTAATAAATACACTACGTCTCTTCATATTAACTCTTTATATTTTCTCAAAACATCCATCTCTATCCTCATTAATGAGGGTTATTATTGGCAAAAAATATATTCTTAATTAGTGTGCAACTTCTCAAAACGACATCTATTAAAAAAATGAGGGAGTACTATTTATCAAAAATGGCAAGTCAAATTTATAGTTAAAGCCTCTTATCATTAATGACTTGCCATTAGTGGCAATTAATATTTTTTTTTTAAACACAACATTAAATGCAGTCCATACCATGTGGAGTTTGTTGCATTAGATGACAAAAAACACGGGATTGTTTCATTAGTTTGTTAAACATTAGTTTGTTTAAAATCCATACCACTACATTAATTTGTTACATAAAATCCCGTGTTTTTTGAAAAACACGGGTTGACCCTTAATATTTTCACAAAAAGTTGATACATTTTTAAACATATCACATCGCTATTGCATGTTAATTTTTTATTTTTCTCAGATTCTAAAACTTATAGAAAGATAAATTCGGAATATAATTTAAATATTTGGAAGTTTTTATTTTTTAATAAAAAAAATCGACTTATTAAATAAAATTAGAATTTTTTTTAACAGAAAAATGGCTAATATAATTGTTATGATTGGTGAACAAAGAATAAGTAAAACTTTTGTTTTCTCTTATATCAAGAAATAAATATATATACTGAAATCAAATTTATATTAGTATAAATGTGTTAGTGAGATAATATATTAATTATATTACAAGCTAGCCCCAACATGCTCATATTTAATGTTATGACTAAAAAAACAATGTTGATAAAAAAAAGTGAAAAATATATTATAACCCTATTGTATTTTAGATTTAACGTTGATTAAAAGAAGTAGAAAATAGATGTTAACCCTATTACATTTTAGTTTTAAACGAATTTTAGTTTTAAACGGACAGAGCCTGTAAAAATAACTCATTTAATATTTCTATTACATTTTAGTTTTAAACAGACAAATGAAAATAACTCATTTAATATTTCTATTTCGTGCATCGCACGGGTACTACTAGTCTATTTGGATGAGAACTCAAGTATATATACATATTATTTATTAATATTTTAATTAATACATTTATATTTGGATTGTAACAAAATAACATTATTCAAATTACAAAATAGAAAACGCAAAATTGGATAACCTAATTGATGGCTTCTTGTTTCCCCGAGCTCCTGCGACCTGGGCTTTGTGGGCGACGGTTTGCCGGATTTTCTAGTTGTTTGCCTTCAGGAAAATGGAGTCGTGGCTGTAATTGGTTTTCTCGGAGGGGCATGAGCACGGCGGCGTTGATGTCGCCGAAAAACAGCAATCCATCTTCTTCTTCTTCTTCTTCTCCTTGGCTGATGCTGCAACCCGTATATGAATCCGGCGCCACCTGCGCGGCCGCCACCTACAAGTTCTACAACCTGGCGGAGAACAGGGTCGTGACCCTGTGGGACCCACAAATACACGGCGACCTGAATTTCCGGGGTTCCTCCGGCGGTGGCTGGGTATCCCTTGTGCAGCCCGAAACCCACGATGTGTTACTGTACAACCCCATATCCCGCCGCCGCATAAAGCTCCCACCTTCCTACGGCCCATCTGTTGATCTAAACAGAGCACCCATTCTCCATAAGTCCTTCCTCTCATGTTCTCCCGACACTGAAAATTGTTTTGCCGTGAACCTAACCTACTATGGAGATTCCATGGCTGTGTGCTGCCCTTTGTCCAGTGACAATTGGAAATGGTTCGGCACAAATTCCAAAGACAGCTATTATTTAGACTGCGTCTACTCCACAACCCAACACACACTCTTTGCCCTAACCCACAATTTCCAATTGGAGGCTTGGGACCTGACGGCTGCATCCCCGAAATTGATACGAATTATGGGTGAGTTTAGTAGTACCCTCCGCCGAAAAGAGAATTTGACGAAGAAGAAGAAGTTGTTACAGTCGAGAGATGACTTGACATGTTGGCATCAGTATCATCTGGTGATTGCCGGAGAAGATCTTCTGGTGGTGACTCAGTACATCATGCTATCCGTTGACTCGGATGGTTTGTATGTTGACTTCGAGGCAGAAGAATCAGCTTTCGAGCTCCCGAGCTCGACTATTGATTTTGATATTCATAGATATGATTGGGAGGATGGAGATTTAAAGTATGTGGAAGGTTCTTGTTTGAATGGTTGGGCTCTTTTCGTTGGTAACTATAACCACTCTGTTGCGTTGCGTGCGTGTGACTTCCCAGAGCTGAAGCCTAACTCCATTTACTTTACGGATGCATTAGCATATCATTGTGATTGTAATAAAGGTAACTATGACATTGGCATATTCAATTATGAGGATAAGACTGTGTCACCGTGCTATTATCCATGCGATCCTGGTAACCTAAAACCGATGTTCCCAGCACCCATGTGGTTTTTCCCAAGCTAGCTTCTGATTTTGGGATTTTGTGGGTTGTTCACTTTTTTATTAGTAATTTTCATTTTGGACTTTGCTGTAGCAAGTTTTGTTCTTGAATATATATATTTAGTGTGTGGGAATGTCTGGAATAATTTTTTACGCAATCTTTGAAGCTTACAACGCATGCTTTTCAAGTTTTAGCAGCTGGCCCATCGACTAGAAACCGCGATTTTTATGTAACTCCCTTTATGCATCTGCTCACAGATTTAATTTCTGTTTTCGGTCTAGAGAGAACAGGGGGTATCATAAGGAATTGTAATGTAACTCCTGTTTTTGAAGTTGCGCTTTCAAACGTCAACTGTTGATCTTCATTGGCGTGATGTGAAAATTTTGTTTCTAAGAAGCAGTATCCTTACACAATTTTTACTGCAGAACTATGAAATACCGATTTTCATATGACCACGAGTTTGTTCCCAGTGACTCTAGCTATAAGCAGCACTGCCAGTGTCTGAGCAATGTCGAAGTCTGTGAGAAAGCTTTCATTTCCTGTAATAAGTTTCTCCCTTTCATCTGTTTCTATTTTGGAGTGTCCTAACAACATTTGGAGAGAGAATCTTTCTATCTGGTTTTTTCATCTTGGGAGGGAGGAAAAAGTCTTGAAGTCGACTGAAGAAAGTAACCTACATTAGTTACAGTCGCATTACCGAGATATTGTTTGTCCTATAATGACCTTTTGAATGACTGTAGGTGTGACTTTATACTCGAGGCAAGGCATGAATAGCTTTTAATTTGAAAAAAGCAGAAGTATGAGTTCAATTCAAGGATGTTCCTGCACCAATTTAATGATTTATTGAGAAGTACGTGAAAGCTCTTATTTCTTAAATATTGAAGCACGATTCATCTTATTTCTTATTGAAGCATGATTAGTCATTCCATAAATAATGGAAGGTTTTCTCATTCCCATATATGTAGGAATCAATTTTTCAAATAATAATATTAACAAATAATAATAAAAATAAATATATAATATATGCTACAAATCGTGATTAAATTATATTAAATAAAATTAATTTCAAATATAAAATTTTAAAAATTATTATTATTTATTGTTCATATTTTAATTAGATATATTAAGTAACAAGCCGTTAAAATCTCAGGGTCGGCTATATGGATCGCACTTTGCCATTGTGCTTGATCAAAACACATATCTCATTCAAATTTAAATATTTTAAAATTGCTTCCTTCCAAGTTTCTTAAGACTACCCCTCTCCCTTTTAATTGCGTTCTTAATTATAATGTTTATATCCTTCTCACCGTGTGCATTCTTAATTCTAATGTTTCTATTCTTCTCACCGGAGCCTCGAAGTCTCTCTTACGCACATGCCCAAACCATCTTATATAAAAATAAAACTAGAAAAATACATTTATAAATAATTTAAATAGATATTTTATTTTTATATATCATATATATTATATATTTATTCATAAACTGAACTACAATATAAAAAATTATATGCGACCACATATGCTTATAGGAGTTTATGTAATGATATATTTTTATTAGTTAATATGTATATGAATTCACAATGCACTAATTTGTTATATAATACTAGTACAGAGCCCGTGCGATGCACGAGTTGCACAATTTTAAGGCTATTTATCCAAGTTTATAATTATATACATGAATAAAGAAAAATGTACGGGATATATATAGTACGTGACCCGTGCGAAGCACGAGATATATTTATTTAGAGAATATTATATTATAAGATGCAATATTCAATAAAAGTTTATAATATGCAAGAAAATTGTACAATGTTCAATAAAAGTTTTATAATATTCAAGTGGAGTCTTAAGGTCTCTTGTACATTAAGACTACTGACAAAATAATATTTTAATCAATGAGTTTCCTTTCCTTGTAGCCAATTGTGAATGTGATTTGAGGAGTACAACAAATCGATATATAGCCGACTTGCTTTTTTCATTGTAGTTTTTTTTCTTTTTTTTTTTTTTAATGAATTTAAAGATATTCTAAAATATAGCAAAAATTATTTTTTTTTATTACAATTAGGAATTTTACTAAATATAGACTTTCAATTTATGGTGTTAATCAACGTTTAAGTCTAAAAAATTAGGAATTTTTACCTCTTTTAATCAACGTTTAAGTCTAAAAAACAATAGAGTTATTATAAGTTTTTTCTACATCTTTTAAAACATTAAATATGAGCATGTTAGGGCTAGCTTGTAAAATTATTAATATATTATCTCACTAAAACATTTATACTAATAAAAATTTAATTTTAGCATATAAATTTATCCCTTGATATAAGAGAAAGTAACAGTTTTACTTATTGTTGTTCTCCATATAATATTTAATTATTATTTTATTATATAATAAAAAAGAAATATTGTTACATAGTGTAGTAGAATTGTTATAAAATTATATGTTTTTTTTTTACAATATGGATTTAATATTTTTTTATGATTTGATAATATAAACAAATCTATACTTAACTTTGACAAATAAAACAAATAAATACTTTAGTAAGTATTTAATGTATATACTAAATAGGAATATATTTGTTATAATCAAATACCAAATATAATCAAATAAGTCAAAGTGTACATTTTTATTTGGTATTTAATTTTTTTATTATTAAATTTTTTTTATTATACTTACTTTTTTAAAATAAAACAAATAAATAAATCAATTAAATAAATAAAATATTATAATACCAAAATAGTAATGGCATTTAATGCAGTTGACTTTTCTAGATAGTAAATGTAGTAAATAGAATCTCCTTTTATATAAGTATAGATATGATATTATATATGTTGCTCAAAATAGTAATGCATTTATTGTATTGACTTTTCAACTTACTAAATTTCGTAAATGGTACACCTTATTATATAAGTATAGATGTATGAGTGTAACAATACGAAAATATATTTATTAAAAATATAGTATATTTTTTTAAAAATAAAATAATTTATTATTATCATAAATAAAAAATAACATTAATATAATTATTAATTTCTTTCTAAAATATTGTGATAAATGATAATAAAGAATGACAATGTCATTCCATTCAAGTCTTATTCATTTTGCATACCAAACACATTAATAGAAAATTTTGTTTCATTCATTTCTTATATTCATTTCATTCTTCAACTCATTTCATTCATATCAAATTTCATTTCATTATACCAATCATGCCATAATAGAATAAATTGACCTAGAGGTTATAGGATCTTACAAGAGAACAAAAACCCTAAGAATTTATGGAGTTGATTGTTTACTTTGAGACCGAGATGAGATAATAACAATTAATCTACAATTTAGCTTGATCAACATAAATGTTAAATTGATTAAGCGGTTGTCTCTACTACTATTAGTAAAATTAAATAAAATTTGGATGAATTTTAAGTGTTTCATGAATTAATTCCGATGAACGAACCTAGAATCTATCTTTCATATCTTGTTTACTTTATAATTTAGATTAAGTATCTTAGGAAAATTAGTTCTTAAATATTAATTTCCTAGTTTTTAATCATCACTCAAATTGGTAGCCCAAATAATATTCAATCGTTGATATTTTGATATTTAATTAATTAAGCAACAATATATGTGGAATCCAACTTTTCCTGTCACTACCTATAGCTATGCCATACATTTGCGAATAGCAAAAATAAATTGCGAACAAATACCATCTAATGTTAAGCCATCTCCTAAAAGGTTAAGATTGTGATGAAATACCCAATCCCAAATAAATCAGGAACATTTTAATTTTACAGTTATTGCAATTTTTTTTACCGTTGGATTAACACGCATTTGGGGTAGTGACAACGAAAAAAGTGTTGATCCAACGAAAAAAATCCGGGATAGTGACAATATGGTCCAACGTATCAATGAATAGATCTCAGTCGATCGATTATACCAGACAATTTGAGAAGGCAATATAATTATTTGGGGCAGACAGTATTAAAGAAATTCTGTTAGAATATACACTTGCGAGTTGTCCCACATCATCTATACAGGGAAAATAGGCCTAACTTATAAGCCTAGTGGGCTACTCCTCCTACCACCAATTGGTTTTGGGATGGAACCTCACTTGGGCTCCAATTGGGCTTCCCTGACTTGGTACGCTTCGTCCGTGAGACTGCACCCGTCAACCCCCGGTTTGTCAAATTCATTGATGTGAATGTCTGAAAGGAGGAAAAATTCATTGCTAATATCTTAGTTGTATCATGTTACATGGATCCTTTTTTGGCCTTGGAATTTCAGTCATATATTTAATGGCATTATTCAATATCATATTCAATAAATAACTTAATGGCAATATTTAATTTTATATTTAATAAAATAACCTCCACATCAACCAACTCCTTTTATGCATTCCATCCCCTAAAAAGCCTGAAAAGAGAAGAATATAAATGTGTGGGAGAATTGAATGCTTGAACAGATAATTAATTGTGAGCAATAAATAATTGAAATTTATTTAACATACTCATGGACAGATAACAGATTTGAAGGGTTGCCCCTGTTCTTCTACAAATGCAATTTTTATATGTAGTTGAAACTTATATATTGAATATCACATATGGTTGTGTGAATCTAAGGTACGGATTATATAGGTCGACGGATTATACTTTTTTGAATAAAAATAAATAGTTATACTAACAAATGTCATATTTTTGTTTGTAAAAATATTTTTAAAATATCACTTGATTATCTGTACAAGTATTTGTAAAAAATACATAAAACTATCATCATAACATTAATTATAATAGTTTGTCCCCTTGAAATGTAGGCGTCGTTTAGTTAACAACGTTTCACATAAAAAAGCTACAATAGCTGTTTTGACCAAATAAAATAGTTGAAAATACTGTTTGGTTAGCTAACTTTTTTATTCAGCTAATCGGGTAAAAAGTTGTTTTAGAAAACGCTGCAATATGGAGCGTTTTAAGTTAACGGATGAGGAGGAATACTTTTATTCATTTGTTTATTAACTTCCTATGTAAAATAGATG